GTTTTCGTGCAGAGGGATGCAGCTGACACCTTGGCATTGCAATGGGCATTGATGCTCAATATAGGTACAGTCCTGCAGTCCTGCTGTCGCCATGCCTAAACCCAAGACCATCAAGACCAAGTTGAAGAAGAAATGGGCGAGACTACCAGGAAATAAGGCTGCAGTTCAACAGAAGATGACCCAGTCCAAAAAGGTCGAGAACATTGCCTATGCTCGCACTTCCTCATTCGGGAAAAAGGTGCAAGGTTCCCGGGCAAGGCAAGTTTCGCAGTGCATTCAGGCTGCAGAAAAGCAAGGCATGCAGGTTCACTCGGCAATTGCAGAGGTCATTTCTGGATATGTCAAATACGACCAGCGAGCAACCCTCAAGCAGATCCTGGAGCGCAAACTACCCGGCATGCCAGAGGAGAGGAAACGAACAGTCCATGTGTTTGTGGAGAGTGTCCGTGCTTTGGCGAGGAATGCAATGGTGGGTGAGGAGATCTATAAGCAGAGCAAGAAGAACAACATCAACATCATTCCTCAAGACTATCCGACATTGTTCAGTCACAGTGAGACTCCTACCGGTAATTTTATTCGAAAGTTGATTTGTTCCCTACAAGAACTCGATCGAGACACACTCGTGTGGCGCCTTCAACAAGGTCGGGAGAACAAGGCCAAAACAACAACATTGAGGACTCAGTCAGGCAAGCCCAAAGTGAATGGAATCAAGAGCTACCTCGAGGATCTGCAACCATCCAAGAATGTGCAAAAGAAGATTGTGGCCCTGGGGAAGAAAAGAGATCGGGGTGACTTTGGATGGAGACCCATGGCAAACGAGGTTAGCAAGCTCCTGGGTATGAAGCAGTCCCTGCCACATGAGACTGTCCGTCGAATGTACAATGAGATTCTTAACAAGAAATGAACATGTACAGTCCCCAGTCTTCAGTCTTGCAGTCCCTCGGTGCTGCACCTCCATTTGTTGATGCAGCACTGCAGTCTTCGCACCGGCCACCTGGCCAAGGTTAATGCATCAGAGTCAGCAGATATTCTGAAGCCGCCAATGCCGTGGAACTGCAAAAATGCTCATTAGATCAGTTCATAATGATGATTACAATTCCAGACCCAGACAGATCCCGAAAACCTAGTCCCCCACTACCATAAAAAGCAGAAACCTCAAGCCCTAATTAAACCCTAGGAACATCACCCAGGCTTTTCCGAGTATGAGTGCTGAAACCCTTACATTGGCTGAAACCCTGAACACTAAATTATACCCACCCTCCCGAACAAACCCACTCAGTATAAACGGTCTAGATGTTGACTCCGGATTTTAGATACTGGCAGCAATATGTTCACTTAAAAACCCACACCAAGCACCGGTCCTACCTGCCCATACCTAAAAGCCTAAACCCTACATCCTAAGAACCAGTAAAGACCAACTCATGTGAGCCCCAACTGGCACCCACACCCTCAGCCCTGTATAACCCTGAACCTTAAACTAAACCCGAAATCCCTTGCTCACACCTGCAGGCCACTTCTTGCCGCGGTTCAGCAGGCGCTGCCTCCGGGGTGGTATTAAACAAGGATTAAGGGCTTACTGGGTGTCTGAAAATTCAGTTAGTAGGGGGTTCAGCCTTAACCCACAAGTAAAAGCAAGATTTTCAGGTTTCATTATGGTTTCTGCTGTGAGAAATAGGGTGATTAAGTTAAGGCAGTAGGAGCACACAAAAGCAATTATTAATTATTAATAATTGAAGACTAAATCGTTTGATCCAGTACTGTAAACCTAATGCAGTACATTTGACCTTCAAATCTAAATCGTGAGGACCGACATCCCTCCAACCTATTAACCCAACATCCCTGAAGCCTATTAAACCTACATCCCTGCATTACTGTCTAACCAAACAACAGTAACAGTGAATACACCCCTTAGATCATTACCACACCAGGGCAAACTTTCTCTAATTTTGTGAGAAGTTATTAACTTAAAAGTAGAACACACCAACAAACAATACATCCTGCAGCTGTGCAATGCTACCTGAGCCCTAAACCCTAAGCCCCTAAACCCTAAACCCCTAAACCCTAAACCCTACACCCTAAACCCTAAATAGCCTAAACCTTGAACCCCTAAAAAACCCTGAATCCTAAACCCCTAAAACCCTAAACCTTAAATACCCTAAACCCTAAAAAAAACCCTAAACCCTAAGCCCCTAAAAAGCCCTCAACCCTAAACCCCTAAAAAACCCTAAGCCCTAAACCCTATATCTTACAACCCACTTGGCCCTTTGCCCCCACATGCCTCGAAGGTTTTGGTGGCAGCAGCGCGGCCGGCGGGCGATTTTGGGAACTCCGGCCTGTACCGGGTTCAGGGTGGGGGGGTTCAGGGTGGGGGCCTTAGGGATGTCGAGCTCTTTAGGTTTAGGGTGCTTAGGGTTTTAGAGCATCTATCGGTAGTTCATTGTGCTTTAAGCACAAGGAAGACCCTATTTACCCTAAGCACCATAAGATCCCCGAGATGCTAGAACAATGAAACCCCAAAAAAAAAACACACTGACTACTAAGTGCTCAGTAAACCCTAGTCACCCGAAGCCTACTCCAATCCTACCATGTAAAGCTTAGGGTTTAGGGAGTATCGATATGGTGTGTTTATCAGGGTTTGTTGAGGGGTGGTGGTTGTTTGTCAGTTTTAATTTAAAGTTGGATTGCTGTTGTTTTGAGGTTGCAGGATTCTGCAGGGTTCTGCACAAAGAATGGTTACAGTTATTCTTGTGTTTTGTGCATTGAAGATTTAAAGGACTAGGAGTTTTTGCTTATTATTAAGTGTTTTCATCCACCATACAGAATGGGAACAAGCTTAGCTTGTGTTGTGAATGACAATGATGAGATGTTGTGTTTATAATTGTTTGGTTTTAGTTACCAACCACACAACACAAATGGCTCGATGGGCTCGAAGTCGTCAAGGCTGCAGAATAAGTTGCAGCGTAGTGGTCGCAGCTCTCTTGATGAAGCTCTGCTGCGGGTATGTCAGTGAAGATCCCATCGAGCTTGGACTGGAGGTCCAGCTCTTGCATTGTTGGGGATCCGTCTCCTCAGACTCGTCTTCGTCTACACTGATAGGAGGCTCGGGCTCGTGAACCATCGGCTCTTCGGGAACTTCGGGCCGCATATGGGCGCAGAAGTATTCAGTGTAGGGAAGCCCACGGTTAGTGACGCACACAGTGCTATTCGCTTCCTGCAGCACCACTCGACTCGGTGCCAATCGATGAAAAAAAAACCCTAAGTTTAAACCCCTATGAAGCTTATAAGATCTTAAGACTGCAGGACTGGGGACTGGGAAATGGGCTTACTTTAGGTTCGGTGTGATCGCCACCCAATGACTCTGTCAATTAGTAAGTTAGGACCACTCAGTGTCCATCAATCCAAAGGTATACTAAAAGTAACAGCCCAATGCTCCAGAACCCACAAGCTCTACATCTTGGTCAGAATACTCCGAAATCTTCAAATGCACTAAGAATTATGCTTAAATTAAGGGTTTTAGGGTTTAATGTCTCCCTAATAATTTGCCTCAAAGAAGGGGTTTTAAGGATCTATCTTGGCATAGAAATGAAGCTCACTGTCAAAGGGCCTTAAGGGGTTTTAGGGAAGGGAGCACTGGGTGGTGAAGACTCAGACTGGGGCTTAGAATCACTTCATGAAATTTATTCAGGGTTTTAGAGTCAGTCCAAATTAGAACCTCCAAAACAAAACCCCTAAATCAAAAGCCATCCAGACCTCAACCTAAGAACCCCAATGCACCAATAAGCTTGTGCCTAAAGCCTAATAATTAAGCCTCAGTAAACAACACGAAACCCTAAACCAAAATCACATTAAACTATACCCATCAAAAGCACCCAAAACTCTACTAATCTGAAGAACCCCAGCCAACCGAAAGCTCCTAATTAAATGCAAACAACCTTAATCTTAACCCCTAAGGACTGCACGGACCTGGCCCGGCGCATTGTGGTGGTGGCAGGTGCCCTGCATGCAGGGCTATTTAGGGCTTTAGATTAATAATGGTTGGAGATTTGGGTGTCAAGGGCTTTAGGGCATTAGGGTTTACAGTTTTGATTGATTTTGGTGTCAAGGGCTTTAGGGCATTTAGGGTTTAGGGTTTTAAGGGCTTTAGGGCTTTCAGGATTTTGGTGTTTGGACTGTTTGGGGTTAGGTGTTGACAGAGGTTGCTTGGATGTGGTTGGTTTACAGAGCTTCAGGGTTAGTGTGTTAGGACCTGTGGGACCTGGAGTGTTAGGGCTTCGGGTATCATACTGCCTTTGGGACTTTGGGCCTTCACATAATTTAGGGCTGGGGGTGGTACTGGGGGGGGGGGGTTGGGGGGGTAGGGAATTTAGGGTCTGTAGGGATTGTAATTATTGGGGCTTGGGGCCCTTCGGGTTTGGAATGGCCTGGGGCTCGGAGCTTACTACCCTATCCTAATTTAAATCCAGTAATGAAATAAACCCTGCCAAAACCCCTGTAAACCCCGAAGCCCTATTACTAAGCAGGCTCTTTTTGTGCAGCTCCTTTGCAGGGCATCGGCCAAAATGGGAGGCAGGTTGAATTGCATCGAATGTTCCTTCACCTTCATTACTATGTATCAAGATGTGACAATAATTTATTGTTGCCATATTAAAGACATCACTTTAAAATACCATCACATTCGACCTTGTGTAGCCAGGGGTCTTTGCTAACCTCATAGCTCATGGTGTTGCGAGCCATAGGGTCGCAAACTCACTTATCCGATGTGCATATCACTCAGTCGTCCTTCCCCATTGCACAGTGCACCAGTTACTACTGCAAGACTGCAGGACTGTCTGTGAATATTGACGTACAGAATCTAATTCCAGCATTCTGCTTGCAAATGGGGACTGAAGACTGAGGACTGTCTAGTACTGTGTGTACTTGACAAATCTCAACAGCTCCTCAGGGATCGTCGTGTTGTCCAACTTAGATCGCACTCACAGAGCTTCAACTCCAAACATCATTTAAAATTTGTCAAGCCAAGGTGCTTTGATCAAAGTCAAAGATGGCCTGCGCTGGGAGTGCCGGCCTGGTTCGTGGGTCCTGAGCAAGGTGGGTCTGGGTTGTAACAAAAGAATCACTTAAATTAATTATGTGACTTCGGAATTAGTTAGAAGCGAGGTGCATCTCGAGAATGAAGATCTTGCGCTTTCGAAACTCTGGGGTGGCAACACCGATGCGGTTGCAAGTCCATTTCCCAATTTGCATGTAGGATTTCTGGATTCCAGGAATGGACTGTATGCACCAATTCGGCTTCAGGACTTCGCGCTCGGCATACTCTGGGTTGAACTGCGACTTAGTGGCTTCCAGAATCAGGCTTTATTGGGGGTTTAGAAATCAGGGTTTATTAGGGTTTGAGGGAACTGTCTAACAATAACAAACCGACCATTCATTCTCAAGCAACATTGTCCGCGGGCTGCCAGACATAGTTGTCCCCGATATGAACGTAGCGGCCGTTCTGCTGGCTCCTCGATTGCAATGTCAGGTTAACTAGGTAACTAGTCATCATTCAACTTCAATGTCATTGCATCCTAAAGCTTCCACGGCACCGGACGATCTTCCAAAAGCTGACTGTGCGAATGCCATTGTCGGTATCCGGAGGGGTGTACCTTAGTGTAGGTTTAGGGTTTAGGGGTTTAGGGTAGCTTAGGGTTTAGGGTAGCTTAAACCCGAAATCCGTACTCATAGCCCTAAACCCCAAACCACAGCCGAAAGACATTGCCCAGATGAAGGTTCCATTAATCGGAAGCCACCATGACCAAAGATCATCAACATCGAAGAAGTCGTCCACTCCTGAGATTCAGTCATGGTTACTAGAAGATCAGATGTAGTACTACTATTACCACCACAATCAAAACCACCACCCCCTAAACCCTGAACCCTTAAAGCCTATTGAACCCTAAAGCCACGAGTTAAGGATCCCTTTAAGGCTAGAGCTGGTTTTGGGTTTTAGGGTTTTGGGTTATTGTGATGGAAGACATGAGTGTTCTGTCCTAGTAGTCATAGTAGTAGCAGTAGTAGTACAAGTAGTAGCAGTAGTAGTTGTAGTGGCAGTAGTAGTAGTAGTAGTAGTAGTCCTAGTAGTCGTAGTAGTAGTAGTAGTAGATAGTAGTACCAGTTGGAGTGTGAGTACTAGTACTGCTACCAGTACTAGTAGCTAGTACAAGTGGTCGTAGTAGTGTTGTCTCAGCTAGCAATAGTAGTACGGGCCGGAGTAATAGTAGTAGTAGTAGTAGTAGTAGTAGTAGTTGTTGTAGTGGCAGTAGTAGTAGTAGTAGTAGTAGTAGTAGTAGTAGTAGTAGTAGTAGTAGTAGTAGTCCTAGTAGTCGTAGTAGTAGTAGTGGTGATGGTTGAAGTAGTAGTTGTTGTACTAGTATGTAGTATCAGCAGCAGTAGTTGTAGTAGTAGTAGTAGAAGTAGTTGTAATATAGTAGTAGTAGTAGTAGTAGTAGTAGTAGTAGTAGTAGTAGTAGTAGTAGTAGTAGTAGTAGTAGTAGCAGTAGTAGTAATAGTAGGGAAGTAGCAGTAGCTTTAGTGGTAGTAGCAGGGAGTAGATGTTGTTGATGACGAGTGGCGGAAGTCATCCACCTGGGCAGTCAGGACTGCGAACTCCGATGTGCTGTATTCACCACGAGTGTAGTCAGGAACGTAGTCAAACGGACATCTCCAGCGCGCCCAGCCATAACCAAAGTACTGGTCCAAGAACTGCGAGACTGTCTCCTGAAGCAGAGTCCACTTGAACATTGTTGCATGAAGCCCTCAGTCCTACAGTCTTGCAGTCATGTATCTCTTCTCGACGGTGGTGCCAGACTGTCTTCGACAGACGTAGGGAAACAGCGGGCCAAGATGAGAGCATCGCACATCAGCATGACGATTTCGGAAACCTGAGGGTACATGTGAAAACTGAAACAATCATTGTGACAAGTGCTTGTCACTTGATTCAGTTAAGCAGCGTGTTTGGTCAAGTTGTAGCTCAACCCCGTAGGGTAGAAGTACTCCTGCTGGCACTGGGAGAAGCCCTCGAAGCCCTTCTGGCAGTGGTGGTACAGCAAGGCCGGGGTGCAGGGGACCTCATTCCTGCCGACTGCCTCAGGATTATCCAGCACTGATGGTGTGTAACATCATTGAAATGCCAACATGACCGATGCAGCAAAGCTTCCTCCAACCAGGCTGCCATTTTGTCCATCTGGACTGGTACCCGAATGAACTCCAGCATGCCTCAGAGAAACTCTTGTCACATCGGACATGCTATGGACATTCCATGCACACACCCTAACTGCCAAGTAACTCTCTGCTTTCATGTTCTTGGGCAGTGAGGAGGGACTGTAGGACTGCAGGACTGTCGCTGCAATGTCCAACCCACCACGGCCTTTGTTTTCAAGTAATCAGCAATGGCTACAACAATCAACAAATGCATTTGCTGTGCAATGTTTTCGTGCCAGCAAGAATCATCTGAGAGCAGATTCTGTCACAGTGGAACCAACCTCCACACTGTCGGCCCAGCCAGGAAAACTGCATTGTGGGCTCTGAACGGAACACCCCCGGAATGTCCAAGTGTGTCCTCATCCAAAAGCGAGACAAGGACCGGTGCACCACAACTACATGTCGTCAAACTCAAGAGTACACATAAACACAGTCCTCAAATGGTACTGCAACAACTCCCAGTCGATCAGCGCATCATTCTCCACAGCAGGACCGGGGACTGAGGACTCCCCTCTCTCTGCTGCAAACCCCTCGTGCAATGCCTGCTCTGGGACAGCAGGACTGAGGACTGAAACCTCATCGGGAGCTGTCGGGGTAGCTGGCTCATACCCATACCCACTGCTGCCTGCAGCATTCGACCTGCGGAGTTGCGAGGGTTCTCCACGTGTCTTCATCTCGACCTGGAGTTTGGCCTTGAATGAGTGAGCACTCATCTCCAGTTGTAGCTCGGAGGCATCCCTGGTCAACAGTGTGGTCGCCTGAACAAAGCATGTGTAGCTCCATGTTCGGACTTTCATGTCATGCAATGTGTGCATCTGAAAGATTGTAGGGCCATGACTATGGTGCCACTGGCAATCCCGCTTTCCCCAGTCATGTTCTGCTTGTGCAGAATGAACAGCAACATCTGATGATCACGGAGGTTGAGATATCCGGCGCAATTCCATGCCTCAAACTCTGTGGGTATGGACTGCATGCAACCAAACTACAGTGACACTCAGCTCACTTGACAGCAATCACAACGTATTTCAGAACCCCACCGGTGTAGGCCCATTGACAGTTTCCGTGCGTGCTTGCACAGGACCGTTGGGACCGTTGCCATGGACCGTCCTAAGTATAGTCAGGAATCAAGACTGCTGTAAGTTAACCTTTGCATGCATCACTCCAAGGACCAGCCAAGTTACACAAAGAACGGACCCTTCTCGGACACACCAATCACTGTCTTGATTTTGTAGTCGACAGTCAAATTGGCAATGGAGTCTGCCATTGCACACAATGAAAACGAGTCTCCTTGATGTTCTGGAGCCCGAGTCTGCAGCTACTGGAGGTTGTCATGTAGCAGTCAGCAAACAGCAGCAGTGGCAGGAGATTGCAAGTACAGTAGTGAGTGGCAAGTGGTACTACATGCTGTTGGTGGAATTGTTGTAGCAGCAGCAGTGGCAGTAGCAGTAGCAGTAGCAGTAGCAGTAGCAGTAGCAGTATCAGCAGTAGTAGTAGTAGTAGTCGTCGTAGTAGTAGTTAGTAGTAGTCGTAGTAGTAGTAGTAGTAGTAGTAGTAGCGGTAGTAGTAGTAGTAGTAGCAGCAGCAGCAGCAGTAGTAGTAGTAGTACTAGTAGTACTAGTAGTACTAGTAGTACTAGTAGTACTAGTAGTACTAGTAGTACTAGTAGTACTAGTAGTACTAGTAGTAAGAGTAGAAGTAAGAGTAGTAGTAAGAGTACTAGGAGAAGTAGCAGTAGCAGTAGCAGTAGCAGTAGCAGTAGCAGTAAGGAGTAGCAGTAGCAGCAAGGAGTAGCAGTAGCAGTAGCAGTAGCAGTAGCCGAAGTAGTAGTAGTAGTAGTAGTAGTAGTAGTAGTAGTAGTAGTAGTAGTAGTAGTAGTAGTAGTAGTAGTAGTAGTAGTAGTAGTAGTGTCAGTAGTAGTAGTAGTAGTAGTAGTAGTAGTAGTAGTAGTAGCAGAAGTAGCAGTAGTAGTAGTAGCAGCCTATTCTACCCGAGACACCACAAGCTTTGCAAGACATTTACGATACACCTTATGCAATTCTATCTGAACCCCTAAGCCCTGAACCTAACAATCCGACCGAGGCCGGGCCTGTGAGATTCCGGCACTTTGGCACAGCAGCGGCCAGACGAAGCGCGGACTATGGCCCCAACACTAAGCTGGGGTGTCTGTGCAGTCCTACAGTCTAGCAGTCTTACAGCAAGACTGAGGACTGCCCTAAGCCCTATACCCTATATAAACCTCCTTAAGGGGTGATTAGGGTTTGGAGCTGTTCGGCAGCTCAGCGCCTACAATAGGGCGTCAGGGTTGGATTTAGATAGCTCGGGTTTAAGGGGCCTTTGGTCCTGTGGCCACACCAAGACTGCCTCGTGACCTTAAGGTCTTAATTAGGGTTCGGGGTATTAGGGGTAACTTAGTATAAGTTGTATCGGAGCGCTGCCACCTGGAAGCTTATGGGGTTCGGGTTCGGGTTCGGGCGCTACCTTCGTCCAGAGCCAGCTGTTGCCTCGGAATGGGCCTGGGGTTGAGCCTTATAATTAGGGGATTAAGGTTTGAAAATAAAGTGTATTCTTGCTGATATGTGGGGTCTGGGAAATATATCTTAGGTGCTACCTCCGGTTTGGGAAGTGTTTGATAATACCTGACAACCTGGGTCTGAGAAGTGTGTGGTAAGGGAAGTGTATCTTATTATCTGATAATTAGGGTGTGAGAAGTGTCTGATATGTGCATCTTCACAGAGGAATAGGGACTGAGAAGTGTATCATTCGGGTCTGGGAAGGACATCAGTTTGTGTATCTTAGCTGGTATTTCGGGTCTGAAAAGCCCATGATAACTTGATGATTAGTGTCTGGGAAGTGCACCATGACCTGATAATTCGGGTCTGGGAAGTGTATCATTACCTCATAATATGGGTGTGAGAAGTCTGAGTGAATGTATCTTAGGGTCTGAGAAGTGTACCAGTACCTCATATTTCAGGTCTGGGAAGTGTAGCATTATCTCGTAATTCGGGCTTACATTTGAGGTCTGAGGATCTGGGAAGACTCTGAGAACCTTCGAAACTTTAGTAGGGTTTTAGGGTTTAGGGTGTAGGGCACAGCAAGACTGAAGACTGCAGGGTCTTGTTCAAGCCTTACCCTATGACATATGATCTCAAAGTTACATACCTACCATAAACCTGAGACCTAAAGTATTAAAGTCCAACTGTATCCTTGTTATCCGAACTCCGGAAACCTCAATCTGAAGCCTGAAATCTGAAGACAAGGCTCAACCCCAAGACTGCCCAGCCACTGAAGTCCGAAGTCCGAAAGACACTCCCAGCAGCCCTCGAAACTAGGGGGTCTGTAGTGTATACTATATATTAACATTCTCAACGCATCATCATGCATGGCACCAAACTCATCATCAGAGTCATGACTATCATAGCATTGTGCTACCACCCGAAAGCCATCAAGGTTAAAACCCGAAGCCCCAAGCCAACTACAAGCACAATATCCCAGTCCGAAACACACATCCCTACATCCTGAACATCACATTGCCACCTGCCCGAAAGCCGAAATCGAACACATATCCCTACATCCTGAACATCACATTGCTACCTGCCCGAAAGCCGAAATAGAACTCTATTAGACACCCTAAACTAGAACTACATCCCACACCCGAAGGGCCTTAGGGCTCAGCCGAGGAAGACCGTTTAGGGTTTTAGGGTTTTAGGGTTTTAGGGTTTTGGGGTTTTGGGGTTTATAGGGTTGTTAGCGCTACGGGGTTTCTCAGCAAACTGGGAAGCACAACAGTAGGGTTCTCAGGGTGTTGTTTTATAGTGGGGTTCTTAGGGGTTATAGGCGGGTTTACAGTCTCGCAACTTGGACACAGCCAGACGAGGCCGGTGGGCTTAGGGTTTAGGCTTTAGGGTTAGGGGCTTCGGCTTTCGGTGGGCCTTTGCTTTTGGCTTCAGAACCCTAAACCCTAAATAACCACAATTTCCGAGCCCTACAACCATAAATGTTTAGATTCTAGATGATGTAGATACTGCATGAGCAAGATGACTGCTGCATGTTGCTGCTGCTGCTGGTGAGGATAATGATGATGGTGGCGATCATGATGATATGATAATGATACAGTGATGTAATGATGCTGGTGGAGATGATGTTGTGATGATGGTGATGACGATATGCTGCTCATATCGATGACCATGATGATCATGTTGATGGTAATATGGTCTTGTCAGAGGTGCTGGCATGCATGGTGTGATATGGTAAATGACATGATATACCAGGACATGATATGTACAAAAACATATGGGAGTTTCCGGACATTAGGGTTACCGTATTTTGGGGGCCTTATAATATGAATCCTACTGTAGGTAGGGTGCTATATTCGGGACCACTATGTTCGGAAACTCCCATATGTTTTTGATATTTGAAGGCTTTGGGGCCTACCTTCAGGAATTTGTTGTTCCTTTTTTTTCTTCCCCCCCAACTCCCCCCAAACATTGGTATCTTACTTACCTTTTGCTGATATCTTAGTTGTCCCGCCGAGCCCTTTATATTGTATTGTTGTATTTTTAGTATGCTGTTATATGCTATAAGAAGCAAGGTTCTGTTATGTCAGGAAATGTCACACCATTTTTGTGTTGTCGAACCATCTTATGTCGTTCTTCTGGTTTACTGTGTTATATATATTAGGTTAGAATGCTAACGGAAGAAGAGACACGAACAGGCACGGAAGAACAAAACACCCGCCGCCGCGCTTTTCGAGACGTGCAAGCTTGATTCAAAAAGTGTTCTCGAAGCCCATCATGTGAACGTTGTCTCTGCAAATGGGGGGGGCTGCGCCCCCCCCAACCCCCCCGCTGTTTTAAGCCGTGCAGGGTTGCTTTGAAGCATATGCCTTTTTTTGAAACCCAGCAAATGAGGGCGTCTCCGCCCTTGTAGATTGTAGATACATGCTGAACCAGAATCGCCAAATGAGGGGCGTGTTTAAGATAGATGATGAAGCGGAATACCAGCAACAGCTACAACAGGAAATCCGTCCTAAATGTGAAATTGTAAGGAAAATTTGATTTTCCCGAGGAACAACCATATGTTGTCCTTGTGAAAACCTCAAGAAATGACACGAACGCCATAGGTAATAGGAAAAGAGGTTTTTTCCTACGAGAATCAAGGAAAACTTAGGGAAATACCACAGAATCCGCAGGAATATCGTGTTTTCCAGAGGAAAACCAAACAGATCCTAAGGAAACAGAAGAAAATCACTAGGAAAACAGTGTTTTCCCTTGGAAAAATTCAGGAATTGTTGTATTTTAAGTGATTTAATTTTTTTTGATCCTTATTTAATTTTGTTGATGCCTCTGCCCCAGGAATTGCTGTATTTTGAGTGATTTAATTTTTTTGATCCTTATTTTAGTTTTTTTTTGATCTTTCCATTTAATATTTTTTGATCCTTATTTATCTTTTTTTTGATCCCTCACCCTGGGTTTTAGGGTTTAGGGTCTAGGGTTTAGGGTTCTAGGGTTTAGGGATTTAGGGTTTAGAGTTCTAGGGTTTAGGGATTTAGGGTTTAGGGCTTAGGGTTCTAGGGTTGAGGGTCCAGGGTTTAGGGCTTTAGGGTTCTAGGGGTTTAGGGTTTGAGATTTTAATTTTTAGGGTTTTTTGTTCGTCTGCGACTAAAGGTCTCGGGCTA